AATCTCTCTCTCTCTCTCTCTCTCTCTCTCTCTCTTATGGTACTAGGGGGTGCAAAAGGGTCGGGTCCTGGTTGGCTCATGGAGAGGGCTGCATTCAGTAACTCATTAAACTGTTTATGCTATTCTTTTATTTATTAGGGAACTATCCTTTTGGTTACTAACAGTATTTTTCGAATCTCTCTCTCTCTCTCTCTCTCTCTCTCTCACATATGGTACTGGGGGTCCATAAGGGTTGGGTCCTGGTTGGCTCAACCCCAAGCGGGACCCAACCTGAATGCAAATTGGATAACCTGGACACAGCCAGGTCCAAACCCCCCTACCCAGGGCAGGCCTGGAAGACCTGGGGCAGGCCCAAGTCGAGTTTATAACTGTTTATTTTATAATAATAATAATATTATATCTTTAGACTGTATCAAATTAAATAAGTACACAGTCAACATTTAGAAAAAGAAAAAGAAAAAGAAAAGTAGTCCTATTTGGTAGTCGATAGAAAGAACATATTTGGGATTACATGTCTGCATCATTCAGTCACTTGTTTTCCAAAAACCAATGTGTTTCTACTGCTCTTATATGAGCTTAACCATGTCCGGTTCATATCAGGATCAAGAAATCTAGTGATAGTCATTTATGGCAGGTAAAAGGCAAGTTTGATTTTTCTTTTCTTTCCATGTTCGATTTTTATTTATTTATTATAACTTTCTAGATTACCATATTTTGATTCTACTGTTGCAATTTATGCTACAGGCATGCCATGTGCAAACTGTTCTTAAAAAGCAATCTTCTTGTGAATAGAATGATACTCTCTTTTTGTTTCTTTGTTTGATGCAACGCTATTACGTCTAAACACATGAATTCTCTCACTGCTAATCTAACCATTCATCATTCACTTGGTAATCATTTTTTTGTACAACATTTTTCATTGATTTTCAGGTATGAGAAGCAGATCCGTTACGCCTCTAGAAAGGCCAGAGCCGATGTCCGAAAGCGCGTTAAGGGCCGTTTTATCAAGGCAGGAGAAGCATACGACTACGATCCACAGAGCGAGACAAGAAGCTGTTAAAAATGATCTCCTTTTTCCTTCCTCTTCTCATCATATTCTTCTAAAACTCTCTATATGCAATTCTGTCTTCTGCTGTTTTCCTGCTAAAAAGTGCCGCATCTGGACCCATTTTTGCCTTGATGCACCAATTTAGGTCCTTGATCTGCAGTATTGATATGAAGAACCATGTCTCTCTAAGTTATGTAACCTTTTATGCTTGAGCATACTTGGCGGCTAAATTTTGATTTCGAAGTGTACAATGTATGTTGTATCTGTAACTTGAGTTCTACCATTATTTCATGTGTATACTTACTGTTGGTGTATTATATGAGATGATATTTATGCATTTTGCTTTTACATTTAGAAAAGGGGATTTATACTATGATTCATGTGACTGCAGAAACTTCATGATCATAAGTGTCACGACCTCCTATCGGAGATGGTCATGATGGAGAGCGAGTAGGACATGCCGTTATCGCCGACGTATACATAGATTTATTAAGAGAAGATCATCCTATGCTTTCTCTTTCCAACAACACTCTTTCAAGTGAGTTTCCTTTATGTATGGTGGTTCCCAAATGAATGCTCTTTCTATGTAACTGTGAAGCTGGTAGGTTGTTTATAGAAAGCCGGTGAGATAACAAAAGCACTCATGTTTTGTATGAGAAGGAAAAACATTATGAAGTTACCCTCTTTGTGCATTTCATAATTTCATGAAATGGAGGATACGTTTCGTTATTTATCTTTTGAAATGGAATAAGAACATACATTTTCTGTGGTCATAAGGATGGTGATATATGATCATGTACCAATGGTGTTATTGTTATCCATGGTACCGCACTGGGGCATCTTCTGTCCATACCTTGAATCACAATGAAGGGAATTGCGGTTCTCGATGATGGGCGTCCACTGGAAGTTGCATCTCAACCACCCATTTCAATGCTATCTGATTTGCTTTTAAGGCTTTTTTTGTTTGGCCGGGAACCATTTCAATGTTATCAGATTTGCTTCTTGGGCATCTTCGGTTTTGGCTGGGAGGGGGAAGCACTTTGGTCTATTCGGGGGAGGAGGGGGGGGAAGGCTTCAATTTAATTTTTTTAAATTAATATAATTATAAAAATCTAAACAAGAAATAAAAAACTAAGAGAAAGACAGAATTTTGGCACAAGCATGATATGTAAGTTGGAGCTTCATTTACTTCCAGTATTAAAACACATGCAAAAAATTTTTAATATACCCCACCATGACTTGGGCGAAGAGGCTGAAGACACTTTCTTCATGCGAAGCAAGCCGAAGATGATGAAAACACAGGACTCAACAAAGCAAGTGTTTGAAAGCAAGATCAATGTGGTTTTGTCGGGGGAATATATATATATATATATATATATATATATATATATATA